GCCGAAATGACCGAAAAGTTTAGGGAGGTCCTAACTCTAGGAGAGCTGCTGGTTTTCTAAGGTTAGAGTTGCTGTGCTTAAGCACCATAGCACAATGCAGTCTGGTCCCAAATTTGGTAATGAGATTGAGTATGTCTAACATCTCTTAGTGATTTCCAGTGTTGACTCCCAATTAATGACAGATTTTACATTACAGAAACTGCTTTTGTCAAAGAGCAGTGCCTTGGATATTGGTACAGTGAGAGATAAAGAAATGGATGTAGTATCACTGGATATATACTCCCCTCCTAGGTTTAAACGTGTGTGTCACATAGCCAGATATTCTCACCAGACATTTCTAGAGGGGGAGAAGATAAAAATAAATGAACAAGCAAAATTCAGTTTTGGAGAATGAAGCAGCTGTCACAAAGGAAATCAATGGGATATGTACAATTGGCCTTTCAGTAATGTATAATTACTGTAAGACTCCTAACTAGTTGCCTTTTGACAATATATCTTTTAATACCCATTTGTAAGTCTCTGAGAAGGAAGGTTTACAATTTGTTTCTGTTTTGTAACCTCAGGACGAAATCAAGAAACCATGAGCATATGCCCTTATTTGGGGAAAAAATCTCCCTCTGCAATTTATTAACATTTATTTACATTGAATGTACACTCTGTGGTGCTATATAACCGCATAATGAAAGGGATCACCATCATGGGATTTGTCTTCTATGCTTGGCATGTTCTTGCTCTTCTCTCGATGTCCAGTTGTAGCCACTGCTGGAGACATGAAAGGTCCACCAAGTCTAATATTCTCTGACCCAGGATGGTTGCTCTTTACGGGCTTGTATTTAGGGGGTTTGGCTTTGCATGTATAGGTACCCTGACATCACAGGTAGCATACAGCTACACCTACATATCTCGGGATAGAAAGGCAAATGGAAAGTCTTCCTTTTTGGCTGCTTTCTGCCATGCCCTTCTTCCCTCATTTGATCTTAGGCTACAAACAAGCAAGCTATGCCTTGTGAAAGCTTTCCCTTGATGTCATTTGAGTTACTTTTGTCCTTCTCCCTGAGCATATGTGTGCTTGTGCTCTTTATTCATTAAGCTCCAGCAACCATGGCATTGGTTTGGTGCCATGCTGTGGGTGATGTTGAGGTATGTTTGGGCTCCAAGCCCCACATTTTTATTTTGCATGAGGCTCACAAGGGTGCTTTGGAAATTGTTTACCCAGTTGAGCTGCATTTGGAAGAGGGATCAGGCAGGGGAAGAGAAGAAAACCACAGCAGAGGAAGTCTTTTAGTTTGGAAAGCAAGGACAGGGTCTTCAGTGAGGTAGACATGCAGCATCCTTTAATAGATGTTGGGTTCTTCAGGGATAGAATTAATCTTGTGTGACTTTGGGCACCTAAGTGGGGAGTTGCTGTAGTTGCTTCTACTTTGAGTGGGGAGAGAAACTAGAGAGCGTCTGGGCTCCCAACTTGGCTGCATGTTAAATTCTTGAAGTGAGGTGGGATGAAACTAGGTCAGAACTTTCCTAGCTCCCTCTGAAAGTCCCCACCTTTATCACAATCACCAGGGATCTCAGGTAAAACCTATCATGCCATCAGCTCCCAAGCACACCTATCTCATGCCTTCTTCATTTCAAAGGTCCTCCGTCAGGGCTAACCCTCCTTCCACTGGTCACTGAGAAGCTTTCCTGGGAGCTTGGCACTGCTGCTTCTTCTATGCTGGGACTTCATCAGACCACAAAGTCGTTGGAGCAGGTGCCAAACCCACCTAAACCATGACGGCTCCGCTTAAATGCAAACAGGCCGATCCTTGTCCCGTGTGCCTGCCTTCCCACAGTTCCCGCTCCCCTGCCCAACTTTTCCCAGTTGGCATCTCTGTCTCAAGAGACACTGTTGCTTTAACAGCTGTTTTGTTTCTTTTAAACACCTACCTCAGCTCCTGTCCAAAATGCAAACATTTCATTAGCACCTCATCTCCTTGGCTTCAGCCCGCAGCACTCAGCCATAATTAAGTGCTGCACTCAGAAATATAATGCGGGGAACACTTCATTAATGCGCTGAGACAGGTGAGAGGAGTGACCCTCTGGGGAAAGCTATGGACTAAATTCGTTTCGGATGTAATGCCCACGAAGACAGTCTACCAGCTTTGTTCAGATACGTGCTAAGGACCTGACCCAAAGTCCTCGGAAATCTTTCTGGAGCTTTTCCATCAGACCCCAGATCCAAAGTGGTGTGAAATGGCTGGTTTCAGGTTAGTCACTTCAAGAGGATGGATGCTCATCAGCACCACGTTCATTGGGTGGGGAGTACACATTGTGCGGGAAGTGGCACATTAGGCCTAATTGGTGTTCTCTCTCAAACTTTGCATGCACACATGCACACACATTTAAAAAAATAAAAATAAAAAATGCATTAGATAAAATAATTTTTCTGGGGTAAAATCTTTGCAGCAGATGTTTCACCATAACACAAATATTTTGGCATCTGTTTCATGTTTTGACAAATAGGCATTACCTTTCCATCCAGAGCCAGGAGCTGGATCTGCTGCAAAGACTCTTTCCACCTTTCAGATATTGATAAAAGCATCCAGGATGTTGTTTTAGCAGAGATTTAAAGACACCATTAGTAGCTGAGCTAAATGGAAGTAAGGCAAACTGTAGTCTGCGTGATAACATTGAAAGGGGAAAAAGCCCCTCGTTTTCTGCTTTCCATGCATAAAAGATCTTTGCAAGAAAACACCGTGTTGTGTAGAATCTGCACAGTAAAATAGTCAAGCTTTTAGATCACTGGAAAAGAATACTACCTCCTTTTTGCCTGTAAAGAGATAAGCTACCAAAGTAAACTACAGAATTTTATTAAGAGCTACAAAGGTCAGTCTTCCAGATTTTAAAACACCGAAAAAAAACCCCACTTAAATGCTATGAATTTTTAGTATTTCTTCTTGACTATTAAAGTCAACCAGCTTTTTGTGTACACATACTAAATGTGTTAAGATGCTTTTTAGACTAATTAGGGAAATCAGTTTAATAATCAGTATGATAAATGGATTTATGTTTAATAAGTTCCACTTAACAGCAAATGAGAAAGGGATTGCAGTCCTGGATTGTAAAGGCTTGACAGCAAAAAGATTTTTGCAGTAGCACTAGAGGACAAGATTTTCAGCCATTTTGGTTTGCTTCAGAGGTTGAAGCATGGGTTACTCCATGCTTTGGCAAACCAAGCTGTGAGGCTCAAGAGAAATGTTGTCTATTAATCAAGGGACCAGGGCAGTAGCTGCCAGGGAGGGGAAGATCTATTTAAGGTACAGGAGAGGCTTGGCACAAGAACAAATGAGTTAATTGATCATGAATAAATGTAGGTTGGAGAGCAGGAGCTTTGTACTGTCAGAGGAGCCCGATTCTGGCTCAGTCTTCCAACAGGAACCATGGTGGTGTAAGAAACCTTCCAGCCTCAAGCACATTTAGGATGAAAATGCACATGGTAGTGTGTCAGTGAAAAGTCTTTGCTGGGATTAAAAGCACCAGCAGGTCTAGCTGTCTTTGCTTCTCCTTGAACCTTGCTGTAGTTGAAATTTTTTTGAAGGTCACCTGGATGTAGCAATAAAATCAAATTCTGGTTTGATGTGATTATATTCTCCCATTGCACATTTGCATCTGACCACGGCTGATGAGTGAGTCAGGACGCCCCGCATTCTCTGTGCCATGTAACACTCCTCCTGAGGGCTCTGCTGGAGAATGGCCCATGCCATATCTTCTTTTCACACATCGTGTTGTACAGGTGGGTTTAGAAACACTGTCAGGAGTAAATACTGTACAGTAGCCATGGAAGTGAGCCCATGGGGTATCCTTTAGGCTTGCAACATGTTGAAATCCCATGGGACTGTCCTTGCCTTGCAGAATAGAGTTGTGAGTTTGATGCCTACACATTCAGCATACAGAAAATTATTAAGAATGGCAACTTCATCTCAAAGTGAAGGTTGGTTTCTGCAATCAGCATTAGCTGGCAGTGGAGGTGTTTGTGGGGCAGGCCTGCCTGGTGGCGAGACACTAACCAGCAGAAGAAAGCATGATTAAAGTATCTTTTTTTTTTCCTCCTTTTCCTCTGCATAATCAGTCTACCAACTGGTACAGCTGGTCTCATTAAAAAACGTTAGCTGGAAGGTAGTTGAGTCAGCTCTGGTTAGTAACTAAGCGGGGGTTTTAGGTTGAGCAAAACCTTCAGGTTGGGTAGGCTCTACTGCTGTAATTTTGCAATCATGAGGCCAGCACGGTTTCGTGTGATCCTGGATGCGCATCCAGATTAACCTGTGGGAAGTTCTCCATGGGAGAGCTCTTTGTGCGTGGCAGCCCAGGGCAGAAGGTGCACCGCAGGAGGGACTAAAGTTGTTACCGCGAGGCTGACTCCTTCCTGAATGGAGCAATTTGAAATGTAGTGTCTTAACTAAATCTCTACGGGCACCTGCTGCTTCTCTGGATGAAGTGGCATAACTCAACTATCTCTGTGTCTTCATGCCTGCCTGCCAGAGGTTATGTGGTGGGAAACGCCCTAAGAAGCATAGCCCTTGCAGATACGAAATACCTTCCTTGGGTGCCCCAGCCCTACTCTTGAATTCTGGTGCTGCAGGTAGCAGCAACCTGCTTCACAGATGGGTTTTGAAATTATTTTCCTGCATGTTTCCTTAATGATTTCCTCATCTCCCCTCTGTCTACCCCACGACCCCTAATTCCTTCTTAATTCCTCCAAGCCCAGAGCTGCTGGTCACGGAAGCAGAAAAGCACTATTCCCAGTCTGCATTTAGAATAAAATCAACATTTCCTCCCTCTCCCATCTGATGGGATAAATGATGCCTGGCTCCATTGCAGGCTGCCCCAATGGGTGGGGAAATGAGATGCTGTCCTCTCCCTATAAACTGATGTGTGTGGAGGATGGGACTGAGCGTATGTCAGAGGTCTCGATGGTGCTTTAGGTTCGCTAGAGCCCTTTCTCACTCGATCCCTCTCCCTTGCAGGCCATGGTGGAGACGGTGAACAACCTCCTGCAGCCACAGGCTCTGAATGCGTGGAGGGACCTGAACGCAAGCGAACAGCAGCGTGCAGCCACCAAGTTACTCGACACTGTGGAGGATAGTGCCTTTGTGCTGGCTGATAACCTGCTGAAGACGGACATCGTCCGAGAAAACACTGACAACATCCGTAAGGGACAGATCCCATAAATACCAAGAGCAACCAGAGGGGAGAGTAAAGGCTGGGAAACCTGGCTTCGGTCTTGGCCCCTAGATTAACTGGAGAGCAATTTGTTACGTATGTCTTGGCCCTTTGTCTGAAGGACTTAAAAGTCTTTCCAAAAGAGCCTAAAGGAATAAGGCAGCTCACTACCCTTGTAATCCCATGGAAAATGAGAACCTCACCTGCCTTTATTACTCCTGGCTTTGAAGGCAAAATCTGTGCTAAAGCAATGAGAGCACCGCTTCACAGGGAGATTGTTCATTGTAATGCAATTGTGTTTCATTTCATACAAATTTGTGTCTTTATTTGGCTGATTGTTGATTTTAATTAAAAAACAAGCATGATGGAAAGCACCAGCACTCCCACTGTGCATATGTGAAATGAGAACAACTCTTCTTTCTATTTCTGTGAATACAGATCCCGAGCACTGATAATATTTACAGAAAGTACCAATCGCCAGTGGCAAAGAACTAGCATTTTCAGATTTTCATTTTAAGCATTGTCCTTAATATCCTGAGGTTCTTGTTTACAAGAACTGGTTGTCTTTTGTCTTCCACAGAGAGTAAAATTTATTTGCTTTTTTTTTAAATTAAATTTAAAACTTCTTCAGGGCAAAGATTTAAAAAGAAATAGGAGCCCAAACAGAGTCTAGCATGAAACATTGTAAGTTGATTCCTCTGCTCTCAGACGGTCTGGAACACCATTTTGTAGCTCTGAAGTGTCGTGTCGAAGATTATTTCTGTAGAGATTTTTCTTAGTGTTGGTGTCTCTTGCAAACAGAGCTGGAAGTTGCAAGACTAAGCACAGATGGAAATCTGGAAGATCTGAAGTTTCCCCAGAACATGGGCCACGGGAGCGCCATTCAGCTGTCAGCAAATACCTTGAAACAAAATGGTCGAAACGGTAGGTCCAGCACCTCCAGCCACGCTGGCCTCATGAATCAGTCACGCTTTAGGCATTGTTTTGTGTTTAAGTGTAAGTATATAAGTAATATATAATAGTAATACTAACTATATAAGTATAGTATTAATCGCTATGTTAATATTTAAATTAACGCTAGCATCGGTTGCTCAGGCCCTTGACTGCAAGCTAAGTTGGCTGACTGGGAATGTATTATATTGCTAAGTGACTCACAGCCTTCAAAAGTCTTACATGCTGGTAAAAATGCATCAGATCCTTGAATGATGTGGCTGTTGGGGTACGGTGCTGAGTCCAGATCCAGAGAAGTGCTTTTAACTGCTGTTGTCTGCAGTAGGAGGCTTCAGATGGGATAAGAGGCTTGTTTGAATGAACTGCTTCACAGTGGGGCACTATACAAATATCTGAAAAAGGAGGGAAGAAACAATAGTAGCAAATATTAATAATAAGCCAACATGGCAGAAAAGGTTGATTAACTGTTATGAGTCTGAATCTTCAGTGCCTTTCTCTCTGAAGCTTATGAACCTCCTGATATAGCATAAATTAAAGATGATGTTATATGTGAATGGTCTTCATGCTGCCAAGCCATTTATTTCCAGACCAGGAATTTGAGCAGACACATTTGTTGATCTCTATAGCCCTGCTATAGACCAACTTCAAACTCCCAGGCCTTCTACTAATGGGCCTAACATGCTCCTATTTCTGAGTTCCTTTAAAATTTAACCTGTGTGCAGCGGGAAGGGACTCCAATACAGGCTTTGATCACTGCAGGCAAAACATGGAGTGATAGTATTACATCCAGACCAGATGCATTAAAACTGCCAAAAATTTCTGACAACTGCTGAGAGAAAAGTTTGGTCTGGTGGTTCAGAAAGAAAGTTTTGCCATTGGCTTCCTTGATGGGTTCAGAACCTTTGCATGTAGGATTTGAAGAGAAGTATTTCTTTTAGAGACTGTGTAAAACCTAAGATGCATAGCAAAACTCCAGTGGATTACATCCAGACCAGATGCATTAAAACTGCCAAAAATTTCTGACAACTGCTGAGAGAAAAGTTTGGTCTGGTGGTTCAGAAAGAAAGTTTTGCCATTGGCTTCCTTGATGGGTTCAGAACCTTTGCATGTAGGATTTGAAGAGAAGTATTTCTTTTAGAGACTGTGTAAAACCTAAGATGCATAGCAAAACTCCAGTGGGAGT